GGCCAATCAACATCGCTTTACAACAAGGAGGCGTCAATCGAAGCATTGGCTCTGGCCAGGGGTGGTTTTTACTTTGAAGACCACCCTGGTCAGGTACACATTTCTTTCCAATCCGGATGTGCCTTTCCTACTGAATTAGTGTGAGAATGAGCTTTTCTATGAACTTACCTACTACTAGTAGCATACCGCAAAATAAAGTTACTACCAGAATACCCAAGTTCAATAATAGATGGATACCTCTTTCATGATTTATCTGCCAAATGTCTTGGAAATCAACTCACTCACCGACTCCTGATGAGGGGGTGCACCTAGCAAGCTTGAAAGAAGAGAAATACGTGTCCCAAATTTGAGTGCTTTATCCGAGGCAGTGGTCGATATCAACTCTAGTTCCTCATTTCAATATTCCTTCCTTCTTAGGTACCTGAGGCAATTTCACATACATCTGGGATTCGACCCCCACCAACTTCTCTCTCGAGACACTACGCCTCAATCACTCTGTCTCGGGCTCAGACGCCTGGGTGTGAATTGTCCCGAGAAGTACCTTCTCCTGTTGAAACAAGAGGTGAAGGTAATGAAGGGTGTAGTCGCGGAAAAGCCGATAAGGTTGATCCACCCACAGCTCGATCTCCCGCCAAAGCAGACTGATATCTTTCCCCTCGCGCCCAAGCACCTCGTAACTGAGCAAATACTCCTGGTCTGCTTTCACCAAGTAGTCGTATGCAGTTTTCTGCTGATACAGCGATTTAAAAACCTTGTTTCCCAACCAATCCGAGACCAGGTGGGTGTAGACGATGATGGCGGGCTTGGAGAGAAACCGCCAGAGAAGCTGCTCCTGCCAGAATCCTGCGTAGTCACTCCCACAAATCTCAATCCAGTTGTACGGAGCATTCTCGTAGAAATATCCCAAGATAAGATTGAAAAGCTGACAGTTGAAGAGAAACCTCTGCGGATCTTTTTGGGTGCTGTATGAGAATCGACCGTGGACCCGACAGTGGAACGAGACTTCTAGTCCGTCGGCCGAGTATCTGTTGTTCACCCCGTACTTGTCGACGAGCTCACAGTGAGGGCAGCCAGCGCGGATGGCGAGAGAGCCAGTCGATGGCGCAAGGTGCTTTGCCAGACTCTCGCGATCCCGAATGACCTTTTGCAAGACCTGTGGGATGCCGTCCATGCTGAGAAACTCTTCCTCGAGGCGGACCTTGTACCGCACACCATAGCGTTCCGACAGATCCTTCAGCAGTCTCTCATATCCATGAAGGTAGGTTTGTAATTTGCCCGTGTCGTGAAGGCCTCTCTGGTAGACGACGCCATCAACTGTCATCTCCTCACCCTTGGCCCTGTTCCAGAGGTCGCACATCACCACCGCTTCCATCCCAAGGTCGGCCATCCTCCTGGCGATCACAAACGCCAAGCCTACATTGCACAGGGTTCCAACATGAGGAGAACAATTGGGCTGAATGATGATGTTGATCTCGGTAGTTGAGTTCGGGTGCGGGAGCAATGCCTTGAGGCAGGCAGGGTAGTCCGATTTGAAAACATATGAACCCCGCCGAGGGCATGATGGGAGGCGAGATTGTAGGCAATGGAACCAGCTCGCGACCTGCAGACTCGGAGGCTCTCGTAAGTTGCGACATATTTGGTTCAGGCCCGAACAAGTCCCAGAGAATGAATGCGTTGAAAGAGCAATCTGGGAGGTTGTTGAGAAAGCTCAGATAGACAAGGCTTTCATAGACCTACGAATAGCTAGCAGATACTTTATATGTCCAAATCGAGACGGCCCTCCCTGTAATTTACCCTTCAGTAGGCTGACCACCTGTGCCCAAAGGAAAAGGGGCGGTTTCTGCGGCATATATCATGCATGAGGTGAATGATTCTTCGTGAATTAGGTAACGCCAGCACCCCTACCTGCACCTCGACCAAATTGGCAGCTTGGGCTCAACAATACCTAATCTGCAGCCTAGCACCATCACACCATTGCCCGGTCCCTGTGATGTATAGAATGTTATGTTTAGGTTGGTAGGTACCAACAACCTGGGGCATTGCTGGCAGAAATTCACGGAATGGATGTCGAAGCTTTGGCGAAGCTCTATCAACCCACCACAACTCCAAAGTGAAGGCAGAGGTGAGAGGTAGAATAATACCTTCTTATCTATCTAGCCTAAATTGGTACATTAACAGGTACCTAATTTATCCCCGACACCTGTCTACCAGGCCTGCGACCGACAGTTTTCAGCAAGACAGCCTGCCTCAAGTACATGCGATAGGGAAGTACCTTAAGATGATGTATACCTCAGGTGACAAAAGAGTACCTAGCCTCAGATCTCCTGACCGGTCATTTTGTAATGCCTATGCTAATGCACGCAGCGAGGTAAGGTGTCGCGTAACACGGTAGGAACTGAACTGCAGATTTCGAAGGTTTCGCAGTGAGTCAGGCTGCGCAGACTCGAGACATACCAAGCTTAATCAAGGCTTCGAAGCCACATCAAATGACCCTCATGTCACACCAATATGCATGGCAGGCCGGAAGTGGTTTTGTGTCACACTACAGGAGATCAGGCTCCCATGGCTTCTGTTGACTCCGGGTTTTGGGGAAAGCAACCGAAGATCAACATCAAAACTTTTGCAGTACATTTCATAGGCACCGCAAATATTTCCCTTATCTATCTCTGAAATAGAACTGGCAGGTATGATACAATAACATAAACCGACACTTAATTGTCGACTGATCCTTGGGCGGACAATGTAACAAAGCTCGTAAAAATACCTACTTCAGCCAAACAACAATGGAAGTCAGTCAACGTCATATACAAAACATACGGGCGTATCAGGAACTCGCGATTGTCGGAACGCTCTCATGACGTAGGTATGTATGAGGTGTTGAAAACAAGCAGTCATCAGACGGATACACCTACATAGTGGTCACTTGAGAACATATAATAACGTCAAGTATCATTGTATCTCTTTATCACTTGTCGGTTGCATAGGTATCCAGGCGAGGAGGCGGTGTTCTAATAGTTGGCAGTTATTAGGCAACGGTTAGCTACCGGTATCTTGACTTTCGAGGTGATGGGCATGGTGGGCGGACTCCTTCTTCGGCGTACTCATGGCATAAGGTAGGTATCTTTTTGACAACCAATATAAAGGCGATTCGTTTCTTGGACCGGTGTTATAAACCTGTCGATTGTTTATTTAACTTGTTTTGTTAACCGGAAATATACATGTCGCTCAATAAATGCTGCCATCAAACACCCCAAACAAACCCAAGAAATAAAACCCAAAAGAACGCCCATTGATGCCCCCTAGTGTCTGCCTCATGGTAAATGACCTCGTCACGCCCCCTGAATTCTCCTCCTTTGCCCATTCGAAGAGGTTCCCTGAACCAGGTCATACACAACCTTCCCAACCTCAATCCCAACCCTCACTGTCTCCCCCGCAACAAAAGCAACAGGAATCCAGGCCAGCGCCGCCGTGACAATCCCCTCATCCCCTGAAAGCCAACCAAGATACGTATTCTTAGCACTTTCCATCGCGACCTTTGGTGCCTTCTCGAGTTCCTGCTCGAGCCATAGACTCGCCTCCTTTTGCTGCTCTTCCCTCAGTTGACTAACCCAGTCATTCGTCCTGGTAAGCTCGCCCTGCACCCAGTGCGAAGTTCGATCCAGCTCGCCAGCAACCCATTGTGACGTGCCATTCTGTTGCTCCTCACGAATCTGTGTCACTTGCTCGTTGACATGGGTGAGCACTTGATCAGTGCGGGAGGTGATGGTCGCCGTCAGTCCACTCAGCCCACGAGAGACTTGCTTGGGCGGTTTTTGCTTGACCAAGGACGTCCCTGACGTGGTGACACTTGCAGAAGGAGGACGCGGAGAGTGAGCGCGTCGTGATGAGGGTGGTGGTGGGTGGGGGCGGGAGTGGGCCTTTGGGAGCAAGTTCGCTGGCGGTGGGGTGTTGTCTTTCTTGGATGATCGAGAGGATGAGGAGGTGAATGAGGGCATGGTGTCACGAGGGCCGCGGGAGAACTATGTATCGTGACTTTGGGCTATACGTCCTTGGAGTTCATGGGGTAACACTGGAAGAGGAATCGCAATGTGAGTTGAGGGTGTGTTGATTCAGATATTCTTTGTCATGCTGTTTGCTCGCTGCTGTTGTGTTTATCGGGCCATCCTCACCGCCGCTACCCCTGATGGGGTTGGCTTGGCATTATGTGTGACGTGGTCAAGCATCCGGTCCTCCACTTTATCAGGGCTGCAACCCAACGTGTGCCAATCAGAGACAATCATTTTGCAACGCTAAACCGGAAGAATTTGTCCAGCAAACCCCCCGGCCCAGAACAATTGGGCCCAAATTCTCTTCACTCCGACTTCAGGTTCTTTGGGTTCGATTCTTCGGAGACATTTTCTGGTAAGAGGTCAGACTCCACAAGTCAATAAAAGGAAGTGGAGGATTGTGTTTCCCTCCATATCCCGACCTTGTCTTGATTGTCAAACACTTTCCTTGTGGTCGATCCCAAAGCCCAAGAAACGCCCTCGAGATTCATGAGTTGTTCCACCCTCCCGTGGTCGCATGTGCTCGCCGCATGCGCTTCAAAGCTTTTCTCCGGTTGTGCGCTTTGCTCGTACCTCTTGCGTAATGCCACCAACCGAACACTGTGAATCCGGTAAGGACAACAGACACAATTAGGTACACCCAGAAGTATGAAGATAGGACTGGCGGTTGATCGGAATCTTCCCCAGTCTCTGCCTTTCGGAAGTAGATATCTCTCCGCTCGTTCTGAAAATCAAAAACCGGCATAGCGAAAATTGTCTTGACGAGACGCATCAGCACTAAGCCCAAGATTACTATCAGGAAGACCTCTTACCGCCACAGCTGTTATTGGAAGATACAGCATAGCAACAAAGGCTATGACCGTACTCATCTTTGCTTGGTCCCTTGCTCGCTCGGCATCATCACTGAGGAGCTCATTCATAAACTGAAGCCAACTTCAGCCCCCATGTGGGCAAGAAACAATCGGAAGATACGATCGAAAAGAGTCACCAGCTCCTCGGAATAAGTCATGTCGTCAAACATCATCCGGCACCTAGCCATCAGGGCGTCCAACTCAATCTCAATCTCCGTAAACCGTTGCTTAAATCTCCGCGTGCTCGTGGCAAACTCGCCGTCGTATTGGAAGGATTGCAGCTGCTGCTCCTCCTCAACCTGCGTTATCATCTTCTGGAGCAAACCCTTGGTAGTTCTGACCTCCTCCGCCATCTTCGTCTTCAGCCGCCAGTTTCTCAGCTTCCTGTTCAGCTTGAAGTCTCGCTTCACCAACGGAGGCGCATCACGATCCAGCTTCAGATCTGTAATAGCTGCAGTGCACTCATAAATCGCCTTCTTGACAATCTCCTGCATCCTATCCTTGTGTAGTTCCGCAAATATCCCGACCGTAAGCAGGGGATGTGACTTGACCCCCGGACATGATGCAAGCAGCTCCTCAACCCTGGCCATTTGCTGTTCTGAACATCCGAATATGACCGCGACAGTAAGCTTCGAAGCTTCAATATAGGTGGATGAAATTGCGAGGCTATTTGCCGAGGTCCAGCTCTGGTGATCCCATGACATGGCTGAGGTGTACATCCGGAGTGAGTTGCCGTGCATGAGGTAGGTCGCGCAGCCGCCTTCGTGGCTCTTGGTGAAGGCCCTGCAGATTTCATCATGGAGATGGAAGGCCTTGGTGATCCTTTGCCAGCGAGGTAGAGAAAAGGGAAGGTAGTACAGATCAGTTGGGACATGTTCGAGTGCTGTGAATGCTGGCCCCACGGCACCGCAGACTCTTGGGGGTGTTCAGCGTCAGCCATCAGAGATACGAAGGTGCGTTGCTTGTATGTGAAACTTAGAGTATGTGGTAGCCAGATCGCTCCTGGTGTTTCGATGGTTGTTCCAAAAGGTTTTCTGCAAAGATTTGACTCTTGAGCCGTCGTGTGAGTTCCCTCTGCCATACCCGAATGTATTCTTATCCATGGAGATAAAATACCTGAAACCAGTGGCTCCAATCCCCATCGCTCTTCAGATCAATACTCTCGGTTTCTCTCCCCTATGAGATAACTCATCAATTCCCATTTCAACACATCTATCACGCAAATGCATTCACTTATCGGGTTACTTACATGGTTGCGGAGCACCTTCGACACGATAGTTGACGGGCAATCATACTCAAATAGACAGCCATTGTCTTCAATTGTCAATATTGGATTTACCACTCGTGGCCATTCCATGATGAATTCTTGTTTTTGAACATTGAGTAGAGTCTTTCTTCCCCACCATGTTTTTTCGTCGCGTTGGGCCCATAACAACAGGGACCCAATGTGCTATTTTTGGCTACCTTACCTTATGCGTTTGCACACGGTGCTAAGCGCCCGCAAGGCCAAACGAGCACACTTGATTTTATGCATCTTCACCATGGACTTATGCAACCGTACAAATCATGCACAAAGATAAAGGAGCAGACCAGCCCATGTGATAGGTAGGGATGAGTGCTTGTTTCTCAGTGCAAAGGTTTAAGGCCGTAACGACGGAGCAAAATGCTGAGCCGTCGTTTTACACTGTGCAGTATGCAACGCTGACCTGACAGCCCGTACCTTGCACCGCCACTTCTGAGCTGGTTAAGAAGCGGTCTCTTGTTGCTCCCACCAACTAGAATATTTCCCCCACCCTCCGAGTCAGCTCTCAACAGCTTGAAAGAGTTTGGAGGTTTAGCTCTTGTTCACCTAACCGCCCAGGAAGAGCCAACCATATCTCCTCTCCCTTGTTCTACAGAGGATGAAATCGGGGTATCCCATCAGGGATCTGTTCCTGTTCCTGACGGTTATTCGTCTGACTGGCACCTATCTTCCTGCACGATCGAGGGCGGAGACATCCAACGCCTCATCCTGACTCTGCAAGAAATTTGCGGCAATGGCAAATTCCACATAGATGTAAGTCTGTGGTTTGCTACCCTCACCCAACATCCATGGACAACTTTTAACAGACAATCAAAACGGAAACCCAGCAGTGACTTCGGTGGAGTTGCGCGGTACTGGTTTATCACACAAACTGTGTTGACAAAGGCAAGTTCTCACCATTCCGATTGGAACCATGGCTTGTACTGTTATCAAGGACCGTCTAACACGGCAAAGGTTGATAGGACGATCTTAGATTGATACAGATTTTCTCCCAGAAGCCGTCATTGAAACCCTGGCTGAGACAGCAATCGCCTGCTTCTCGAACAGAAGGCAATCCAGTTCCCACCTAAGAAGCCACCAAGGGGCCAACAAAAGTTGAATACGAGTGAGGGATACTCAATCTTGCGAGATAGAGCCACCGCCGCCATATACCCCGTATGCGGCACCGTATGATCAGAAGGGATCGTCGAACGAACTGCTCTCAGACACACCTGAAGAACATTGCCCGAAGCAGGAGGAAGCGCCCGGCACAATACCTAATCAACAGTGAGAGAAGTATAAGGGTAGAGAAGTAATAGCAGATGTTCATGACAAGGATTCTATAGTTTCATCTTGTTGCACTGGTGTCCTGTTTCCCTGCCTCTTCCCCTGCCCTATAGCTAAAGAACACAGAATGAGATCTAAACCATTGAAACCGCCTGAGGATTACCTGGATGACTAGGAGAAAGGACACTGGAGTCCGGCGGCAAATTCCCAAGTTGATGTCTATCATTGGTGCTCCTTGCTCTTTTGATGGAGATAAGGGATTTGATTCGCGACCATCCCGAGGTTATGTGAGACCAAATACCCCTGTTTCCATTCGCAACTGCCCCAACCGTTGAGGCAGCTGGTGAGTTTGGTCGTGAATGGGTACCGTTTGAGTTATCATCCGGGTCTGTTGTAGCTGACTCCTTGCCTAGTCTTTCTCGCTCCGAGTGGGCCGAAGCGTGAGATTTGTACCAGTAGTAGCTCCCGTACGTTGCCGCTGTTAAGAGAACTCCGAGTACTATATGTATTGTGAAGTACCCGGGAAACACATCTAACTTGTCAGCTTCGGATTTGGCGCCACCCTGCTCGTTCCATTTCATCTTTACCCATTTGTTTTCGAATTTGAAGACGGGAGTGGCAAATATTGTCTGATGTATCGGTTAGCATGTTATTGGGACCAAGAAGCCGTTGATGTAGTAGTCTCCCGGCTCGAGACACTCTGCCAGGTCCAGCAGGGGATTTCTTACTGAAACAGCAGTCACTGGAAGATAAAACATGGCGACCAGGGCTATATACTTGCTAATTTGCCCTTGGTGGGTGGCAGTCGATGCCATCGAGGCTGCCTCTCGGGCTTCGCTCCTTGCCAGCTGTGCTAGATACTGGATAACATCGTTAGCGGAATGAGCGCGTAGGGTACTTGAAACCTAGTATTTTGGACCAAGTGTCAAGTTGATCCGGCCGATTATCCGGCCACTTCGAGATCTGACGTGGTCCTAAGATCTTCAGCTTTGACGCGGGATTCGGCCGAGATTGCCTCCAGTTGATAGCCAATCTGTTTGAATCTCTCCTTGAACCTCCACGTTGTCTGGATGTACTCGGTGCTAGCCCCCCTGTGGTTGGCGTTTTGGTGGTCTGTTGCGTGTTTTATAATCTTCTCCAACTGGCTCCTCGCAGTAAGTGCTTCTTCTTCAGTGTTTGGTAGCTACAAGAGCCTTGCGCAGCTTTTGGTTCTCTTCATACTCGAACTTGGACGATATACGATGGTGCTGGATTTCCACGAATAGCCCAATCATCAGAAGCGAGTGTGGACTGGCTTCTGGGGAGGCTCGGAGCAGCCTTCTGACCAGACTCAGTTGCGTCGTGTCGCAGCTGTAAGCAACTGCCAGGGATAGTCTGTATTGCGGGAAGTAAACCGCAGACATGGAAACACTGAGCGGCTCGATCTTGGGGCTCGTTACTCCTGTCAACCAGCGGATCATGTAGTTATCTTGGAGCCTTTTTTCCTGAAAATCGGTGTAACACTTGTTTTCCCTCATTGCGTCCCTGATGACACAGTTGATGTGGAAGTGTTTGATGATACGTGTCCAGTTCGTTTTGGAGAATGGGAGGTTGTAATGTTCTTTGGGAATCGTCTGGATTTCGTCGTTCGCGTTCCGGCTTTCAAAAGGCTTCACTTTGCTAGGGAAGCTGAACTGATCAGTACCCTACCTAGCTATTTGCTTTGTGTCTTGAAAGTGAACTTACAGAATGTGAAAGCCCGAGATGTCCACGTGGTTTTGGGGTGGCTTAACGAGAAGTATTTGGCGAAAGCATTCACTCTAGGATTCAACTATGCATCAGTAGACGCGAGGGAGTGAAAAGAACGAAGCACTAACCTGTAGCCATGGCGTCGTCCATTCGGCATTGTTGGGCAAGTGCACCTGATCTGCGGCCTGAAATCTGCTATTAGGTTGGGACCTCTGTGCATAAAGCACGAGGCTCTGGTCAGTTTCTTCTGTGGTCGTCTGTTCATAGTTCTACTGCTTAAGCCTGGCGTCGGTAAAATATGGATCCTGAATGTCAGGCCAGTCCATGGTTGAGAATGATGATTGTTTGTTTGGTAGGTATGTTGGATGACAAGGAAGTGGACCACATATGGATATGGCCCAGGTAAGTTTGAACTACCCAAGCCATCTACCCACATTAAACCCTCCACAACCCTGGACCTCCGAAAGCCCCCCGATATCAACACACACTTTATATTCCACCCACAGAAACCAAAAATGAAGCTTTTCTTTTACTTTTTTTTGCTTCAGGTACCTAACAATGGCCAAATATACCGAGGAGGATATTAAAAATGCCCAGAAAGACATTGCCGCTGGTATAAGCCAGCGAAAAGCGTCTAATAAGTACGGGATTCTATGTTCTACGTTAAAATACCGTATTAATAGTACTTTATTAAGGAACTTTATTTATAAAAACTAATAACGATTTTTTTACGGCTAAAAAAAATCTTATTATTTAATAAATCCTTCGTTAAAAAAACTTTAATTACGCTTCTATCTATATTAATATAAAAACTTTAATAATTAATTTATTAATTAAATAAAGTAATCCTAACCCCCTTAGTAAATACTAAATATTATACTTTATTAATTATTATTCCGATATTAAAATAAAAATTTAAAAAAAATTTAATTATATTAGAATTAACGAAATTACTCCGGAAAATATTAATAAGTTTTTTAATTTATATTTTACTATTAATTAAATTAAATTTAAGTATAAATATAATTATAATAAAGTAAGTATAATAGAAAGCTAAGGAGAAAACAATTTAGTTATTAGGTTTTCGAAGCGGGATAAGAAATCTATATACGTTAAATAAAACGAAAGAAGGATTTAAACTACTATACTTAAATATATTTTATAAGACGGAAGAGTCTTTCCCTCCGGAATTATTTTTAAAGGTAAAAACCTTTAAAAATAATAATTTAAAAATTAATTAAATAAAAATTAATATATAATTATATTAAAAAATAATTAAATTAATAATAACCTTACCGTTAATTAATTTAAAAAGGTTTTTATATTAAGAACTAAACTTAAGGATCTATTAAAATCCTGTTTTTTTATTTATAATAGTTATAATTTATATACTATTAACGACTTTATAATCCGGTACTATAAAAGTAATATTTATTTTCTTTT